CCTCTTTCATGAGTTCTGAAACGATAATATTATGTTTCCCGACTATGAGAACGACCAAGTCATCCGCATAGCCTTGTGTATAAAACCCCTTTCGATTAAGGCCCTCCAGTGCGCCGTCCACCACTAATCCCCATAACAAGGGAGACAGTACGCCTCCCTGGGGGCAGCCCCGGCCTACCTTACACCTGGATGTCTCTCCCGAAAGGGTAGCTGTTACTGTCCGGTTTCTCAACATGGTATCTATCCAACGACACAAAGTGTCTTCAAGGCCCCTGTTGCGAACTGCCGAATTAATAGATTCGAAAGGTGTATTGTCAAATGCCCCTTCAATATCTAAAAAAGCTGCCAAAGCTAGATCTTTGTCGTCCATTGCCCTCTCTATCCTAGAGACTAGGCTATGAAGGGCTGTGTCGACTGATCTGCCTGCCTGATAGGCATATTGGTACCTGTGCAGAGGATTTGCCCTCAATACCCCGTCCCTTATATGCCTGTCAACTATTCTCTCCAACGTTTTCAGGAGGAAAGATGTTAAACTTATCGGGCGATATGCCTTTGCCTGGGCATACGATGGACGCCCTGGTTTAGGAATAAACGCCACGTTCGTCGATCTCCATGCCAGCGGTATATAACCAAGTGCAATGCTGGCTCTGAAGACGTGAATTAAGACCGGAGCTAGACAGTCCACCCCCTGCTGTAGCAGTACAGGTAGGATTCCATCGGCTCCTGGTGATTTAAATGGGTCAAAAGAACTTATTGCCCATCTTATTCGTGACTGACTCACCACCGTCTTGGCAACCTCCCAGTTCTGTCGAGACCCGGTCGTTACCCTCTGCTGGTGATTCCAGTCATATTCATCTCCATGTTTTAATAACCTGGAGCCTGGAAAGTGAGTATTTAGAAGTAATTCCAACGTCTCCCTTCCAGATTGTACAAGTTCTAAAACCTGGGTTAATTTAGTAATAAAATTATCAGTTTGCTGAACAAGAGAACCCATAATTAATTATCAGTTAAATATAAAATAAGAAAAAATAGTGTAACTGATGTATAACTATAACGCTTTTTATTAAACGATAATCATAACGCCAAATATAAATTGGGGACACTTACACTTTTTTCCTTAATGCTCAGCTCAGCGCTACAATTTCAAAATTTACGATGGGGTTTGGATGACTACGATGTTGTAACCCCTTGAAGACTAGCCCGTATTTGCCAGGGGTAAAATTTTCAAGGTTGGTCTCGATGACTGGGAGGCTTCTTTTTGGTAGGAAGACAGAATGCTGCTCCAAATCCACAAGAGCTGTTCGCCCAAATCTTGTAGTTAATATTTTTATCCCAAATATCTGCTGGGGTGTATCGATGAGTAGGTCTCGAAGTTTTATATAAGGTTTTTTCTGCACAGAAGAAACTGTGTTAATAGCTTTTAGATCCATACTAGAACAATAGAAAAAAGTTTACGTAAGTAAAATCTCGTAAAATGAAAAAAAAAATAAAATAATTGAATAATTAACTGTGAAACTTACTTGTATTTTGCAGAGGAGCACTAGCTGGAGACAATAAGTTGCTAATGTTGCTATTGAGAGGTGTCGATACAAACTAACAAATAATAACTTTATTTCAATATATATAGTGGTATTGATTAGTTGTTGGTTGGTCATGGCAATTCTTATCACATCCTGCCCGTGCTCATTATTTTTAGCGGTTTCCTGTATGCATGCAGGTTTACAGCTATCAGTAGCATCCTGTTACGCTCGTTGTATTAGGGTAATTTCGGGAGAGATGAACCACCTTTTTTATTTTAGCTATATTTTATTAGAAAATGAGTTTATTCATACAAAAAAATTTTGACTACAAACATTTCAACTAACAGTAGCTGTAAACATAACTGAAAACTTAAATATCAAACACATTTTTCAGAAAAAAAATTAAACAAAAATGGTAGTGTGGTCCAACTCACCCTGAAAGTACGGGGTAGATGAACCACCATACCTGGGATAGTTGGACCACACGGGTAAAGATGAACCATTATAAAGATTTGCAGAAACTTACTTAACTAAAAATACTATTACGAAAAATCAACTGCATATGTCCCTAAAGAGCAGTAGAAGCACCTTTTTTGCCACATCTGTCGCACATATTTGCATATTTTAGGCACGACTCATGAAGCCACCGGGCACATGAAATACATCGAACCCAATCGTCACGCTTTTGTGTAGAATTATAATTTTCTCCACAACCAACGCAATCATTTTCTTCCCATTCTTCTGGAGTGTCGCTATCATCTTGTAGAGAAACATCTCCCTCCGACTCGGAAGTACTACTTATTACTTCTTTTTCTCTTCGTACCCTCTTATTTGCGTTCTCTTTGCCTTTTGTGTCTTTTTTTCAGCCAGACTCAGTTTTTTGTTACTAACACTTTTACTTTTGGTTTTTCTAATAGCAATGTGCTCTGGTGATGTCAGAATTTGAGCAAGTGCTCGCCCTCGCTTCTTCACATTACCCATTTTTTGGGTACTTGTAGGTACTGGACTTATCTGATCTAATAATTTTCCTGGAGTTATGATTTCCTTTTGTGAATTTATACAGCTTGGAGATGATGCTTCATTTCCTTCTGGTGATTCATGCAACTTTGTTGAAACTGGTTCCCAGTGAGAACAGCCTGGCTTATCACCAAGATATTGAGGAGATTGAACGTTGCCATCCTTCGTGCAAACTATGGTTGTCCCCTGAAACAAATAAACAGAGGTTGATATGTACCCACTTAATCAGAGAATCTAGCAAACTAAGAACTTAAAAATGACTATGATGCAAATCAAAGGCTTTAGAAATTTACTGAAGACTATTACCTCCTTTAGTTTCGGATCAGAAGATTCTTGGTTATCATACGGGCCTTGGATTATCGATGTATCAGATGCCGGCAATTCTCTATTCTCTTCAGGGATGTTTGTTACCTTAAAACAAGAAAAGTTAATATTATGCTTGCATAACAGGGAAAAAGATAAAAGTTTATTTTTCTGTTCTAGTACTCACTAACTGTAGGTTTGACCTATTATCCTCTTCGGATATAAAAGCATAATCTGGAATAGCTTCGGATGAAAAGGGAATAATTCCAGTAGCTCGGAATCCCGATATTGCATTGCTTGCTACAGCTGCTTTGGTCCACGATTCCGACAGCAGTTAACCAAACTGGAGCCTCCCAATTTTTCTGCTGGGATTTGTCCTCATAAATTTGTTGCAAGCGGCATAGTAATGCGTTTTAAGAGACTTAAATACCGCCCTGTCGAGAGGCTGCAGATAGTGGGTTGTATGAGGTGGGAGGCAGAGCATTATTATTCCGTTTTCCTCAGCGAATTCAAGCATCTGGCAAAGATTGCAATGAGACGTATGTCCATCTAGAATTAAGAGGACTTTTCCGAGAGGTTTCCTAGGCATAAAATGTTCTTTCAGCCATGTAAAAAATATATCTGTATTTACATAGGCGGACTTTTGGGACATGCGAACAACAGAGCCTGGTGGCATACCGGATGAGTACTCATCTTTTAGGTTCTTCCCTTTAAAAATACAATACGGAGGAAGAAAAATACCTTCACCATTGCAGCAAGCTATTAGACTAATGGTTTCGCCCTTTTCCCCCGACGTAATTGAAGTTACTGCTCTGCTGCCTTTGGCTGCTATAACTTGTCCTGGCCTGTTGTTGAGCTGCAAGCCCGTCTCATCAACATTGAAAATGTTGCCGGGTTTATCGAAGAGCTGATTTTCACTGAGAATGGTTTCTAACAACTCGAAATATTTGGTTACTGTGTTCCGACACAATGCAGTTGAACGGTTCACAGACACACCTTCAGCAATTCTTATGCTTAGGTCTGAATGGCGGCTTAAGAAAAGTTGTAGCCAATCGTATACTGCCATTCTGTTAGCTACGTCGAAGCGATGCTTAATTTTTAATTGCTCAGCAAGTTCAAACACCATATGTCGCACATCGGTCCGTGTTGGAGCAAAACCAAATTTTTGCAATTTTTTGACATGTGCTACTAGTTTCGCTTCATTTTCTTGTCCTAAGGTGGGCGAAGGACCCAGTGCCCCCGTCTTTTTGAGTTTTCCCGATTTTTTTCTTCTGATTAAAAGTAGCCTTGGGAATATTGAAGTGTTTGGCTGCGGCATTCACTCCCATTATTTTTGTATCTATAGCCTCTACTGCATTTTTAAGGTCGTCTTCGGACCATGTAGCCCTTTGTGAACTCAGCTTTCGTTGGTATTTTGTAGGCATTCTGAAAAAAAAAAACAAAAAAGACATCAATCAAAATTGGTTCAACTGTCCCGTCCTAGGGTGGTCCATCTATCCCTAAAGTCAGGGATAGATGGACCACCCCTGATTTAACCTCTAACTAACCTATACGACTTTTAAGCTATTTATAGTGGCTAGAACAGATATCAAACAAATCTAGTCCCGTCAAAAAAGTACGTACGAACATCGCAACAACCAGATTGCAACTAGTGATTACTTGGCCGCGAGGCAGCATTTAAATTTCTGCCCTCTATCGTATTTCCCCAGAAGTAGGAGACTGGTCCATCTGAGGCGGTGGTCCATCTCTCCCTGAATTACCCTATCGTTATCATTTCCTACCGGCATAATTCTTATCACATCCGGTTAGCGTTCATTATTTGTTATCACATGCTGCATTTTTTATCAACTTGCAAATATTCTCAACGCTGCAGTTGTGGTTGTGGTTATCAGTTTTCCTGCATATAAACGCATATAAATAGTCGTATAGAATTAAGGATACAATTAGTTGTTTATTGATATTTCCTACATAATGAAGGCGTGCTGTTATTCGCATCTATGCACAGTGACAAACAGGCTAACGCCACCCATAAATTTTCAACATTACCTTAAAGAGAAGTAAGTTTTTTTTCTCCTAATTATTATATGCTTTTCTAACACATAAAAATTTGTTTAATAGTATGCTGCTAGAAGATGTTGAATGCCCCAAATGCAATGCGAATTTGCTGAGACATTCGCCTAATTGGAATGATATAGGGGGTTGTCGAGTGTGCGGAACCCATTTTTGTTTTTGTGACTTCTCCGAACCTGTTGACGGTGGTTCGGAGCAGCACATTATTGAAGAAGATTCCCCACGCTCGCCATCGCCCATCATCGCAGATGGTTTGGAGCAACCCATCGGTGTATATGACTCCCCATGCTCGCCATCACCCATCATCGCAGATGACTTTTGTTGGGTGTGCAACAATACGTTTTGTGGGCATGATGGCTTTTTAGAATCCATCAGATTCTTCGCAGTCGCCAGCAGAACCCATAATCATCGCGGATGATTATATTTTTCCGGGCAGCGAGGGACTGCTGATGGATCCGCCTGCGTCTCCTCAGCCACCAAGACTTATACCGCTAACGGTAAATACACCAATGTAAGTTTATCAATTTTTTTATTAAAAAAAATAGCAATATGTAGATTGTTTCTTTTTGTTATAGGAACCGAGAACCGAGGCCCAATATAATCATTACGGTCCGGGAGGATGGAAGTCGAAGCTACTTTGTTCTATAAATTTGTTAATTTTATTGTGTTATAATAAAAAATATGTAATATATATATATATTAAAACTGCATTATTTTTTTCTTCTTCTCAACCCAATCAAAGACTATTACTTAACATTTTAATTTATTACATATATCAGATAGTACATTATCTTGGCAGAAATAAAGATATTCACACAGAGCATTACTTAATAAACTATCATTAGATACATTACAAAAAGAACTTATAATTTCATCTATATTTAGGGAAATTTTTTGAGACTTTATCCAATTACGTACAATATCTAAAACATTAAAATAGTACATGCAAAAATCTAATGAATCTAGAATACATATTCTATGCGACAGTACACAAGTATCAAGTTTTAAGAGTTCTTCCACATCATGAAGGAAAAGATCAATGCGCATGTCGTATTTGATGATATGTAGTATTTTCGTATACCAGTTGGACAACTTTTGCGTAATCTCCACAGCAATGGGTCACAGGTTCATACTCATCGGGCCTACCTTGCAGGGGTGCTTGGAAGAAATCTTTTTTCATGCATTCAAGCAGCTCCAAAAGAGTGTGCCATTCAAATGTAGAAAATGATAATTTGTTACCATTACCATTCCTTATAACAATTGTAGGTCTGAAGGATCTAGCTGGGCTTAATCCACACTGTATTTGAATGTTAACATTAGATATTAGTGGAAAAACATTATTTAGCACGTAAATCTGCTCCCATCGTGCGGCTTCTTCATATTTAGCTAGAACATCATCAAGAGCCTTACTATAATCATAATTTTCTTCATGACTTAAATTATCGGAAACTTCACTCATTTTTGCGTCCTTCTTGCTCGCTCGACTCGAACTAAATGATGGTGTTCTCGATCCAGCTATTATGTTTCTTATCAAGCCCCAACCACTTTACGAAAACTTTCCCTCCTTTTCTCCTTAGTACCTTTTCTACGAGATAGATGTCGGGGTTGGTGGTTTTCTTTCTCCTCAGTATAGAAGGCGCCTCTTATAGGATTTCCCTGCATATCTTCCAAGAGGTATGTCATTCGATTCGTTATTTTAACCGACGTAATTTTAAATAGTTCAGTCGTCCGATTGGGCGTGTAACCTTTATCGAAGACGTGTTTATTTTTGCTAATGCGCACAACGTCACCCACTTTAAAATTTTGCAGGCCGCTTATCTTAATATTATTGTAAGCTGACTTTAAAATTCCCTCTTCGTTGGTCTTATTTACTTGAGATGGCTTATATCCCATGGTATGGTGTCGGGTTTTGTTGTAGGATTTCGAAATTTCTGGTAAAATATCTATCCATTTATATGTGCCGTTTAGGCTAAAGTACTTGTATAGCTTTGATTTCTAAGATCTTATCACACGTTCGGCAATGGCGGCTTTTTTCACGCTGTACGTATTGTAATGATTAAAATCATACTTCTTGAGGAAGTGCTGGAATTTTTGGTTGAAGAATTCCGTGCCCTGATCCGTTTGTAGATTTACACAGAGTCTACCTTTGCTGTGAGCTAAAATGTCAGCAAAGGCAGTGGTTATCTCTTCACCAGTCTTTGTTTTTAAAGGTCTAGTCCACATGTACTTTGAGAAACAGTCTATGACGACCATAATCATTTTAAAATTTTTGTTATAGTGAGCGTACTGACGCATATCGGCCAAGTCCATTTGCCACAAGTCATCAAGCCCCTTGATAATCGTACGTCTGCGAGCATAGTTTTTTCTCATAGATTTGTGTAATTCGTTAACAAGTTGAATCTTTTCCTTTGAATGCGTCTTCATGTCTCTACTAATCGATTAGCACTAAGAGAGCCTGTGGCATTTATGGGTTATTTAAAGAGGATCCTTGAGGTGATGCGACGATAAGTTTTCCATGTGAAAGGGTCATCTGGTTCTCTACTATATGTATACGTTCTTCCAGAACCTTATACTTCTTCTCGTCGTCTGTAAGTTTATTCATAATGTGTTCAATAATGCTATCTGTTTGTGTAATATCATTTTGTAATTTCATGTCAACACTGTGAGCCAGTCTTTGAATGCGTTAAATTTTTTTCTCCAAGTCGTCAACTCCCTTTTTTAAAGAATTACTTAACAAATTTAATCTATCTTCAAATACTTTAATTATTTCTTTGCGTAGTTTCAACACCTCATCATTAACGTTTTTTGATAATGTTCTTTTATTAACGACATCATTATCATCAAGAGGCGAACCCACATTACATATTCTCACATTACCAACATTAATATTTCCATCGGCAGTAAACGAAAATCCAATAGTATGCGGACAAAAATAAGGCTCGTCAAAATAAGACTTGTTAAAATCACGACAAAGATGAGAACTACGTCCGAATTTGTCGAGACTCATCGTGTAGAATGACAAAAAGTCGTTTGGAAAACACTTTATAGTATTTGACGTAGGGATGATATATGTGGTGTAACACGTGACGTAAAAACGTGACGACGTGACGTAAATGTGATGACGTGACGTAAACGTGACGACGTAAACGTGACGTAACGTCACGACTGAAGATATTATTCGAGCCTCCTTCAGTTCCTCGATAATTGCTGTAATTTCGTTATCGTGTGATGTATTTCCAGCCTTCTTAGATGCCATCAGCAGCCTTAAACGATCGACAAGTTCGTTGGGATCATCCCAGTAAATACATTCCATCGGCTTTGTATTGAAAGTTAACTTGTTGGTGTGAGATAATAAACCTCTGAAAGTAGTTTTACGTTGTGTTGTCTTAATAAATAGCGGTCTAATAATTTCTCTATACTTGAGCGAACTTGAGCCTTTTAAGCGTCCTACCGCGTCTTTGTGGGCTCCAGTCATTTCAAGAATATTTTTATAAGATTGTTATCCTCTTGATTGAAATGATAGAAAATTAATTGGTACAATTCCGGCGTTCCTTTGAATTGCTGCTCATCGATTATTACATTACCGGTACGAATGTCAAAATCGATGCGTTTTCGACCTAATAGCCACGATGATGTTGAGGAATCGTATACTGGTCCACAATTCTTATCAACCACATCGCTACCAGCCCAATGCTCTGTAACGTACTTTTGAGATATGACAGGATATTTATCTAAATATTCTTCTAGAGCTTCTTGAGTTAAATCTTCCAATCGAGTGTCTTACTCCTCTTCAAATGTTCTTTCCACATCATCATCAAGTCTAGATGATGACGCTATGTCTTCCAATGGTAAAAAGGCTGCTTGGTTGAATTTAGATGTATACGATTTTTCTTCTTCGTCTTCTTCTTCAACTTTTCTTTTTTCTCCTCTTTCTTAATGATTGGAAACTTTACTTTTCATTCATCTTGCGTGATGTGCTGACTATTTCTTTTAACGGCGTCGCAATGGGTTTAAAGAGTTTTTGTAGCGCCTCATCTTCCTCCGTTTTACCTAGCTTTAAAGCCAAGTATTTTCGCTTGATTGATTTTGCGAGCTCGTTGATTTTTTTCTTTCGCGCCATCTTGGCGATGGCGTCTTCAGCCGTTGGATTCATTGCGATTAATGATAAAGTTAAATACAGTTACATCCTTATATATTTATCGAATCCTTTACGATATCGACCGTCTTGCAGATTGAAATCCTTTACAATGACCAAGATTCCGTATTTATTACTCCAACATTCTAAGCAGCAGTTCTTAAATTGATCAAAAGTCATATCGGGAGACACATGTTCATCATAAACATGCTTCAGATTGATTTCATCTTGTTTGAAGAGAACTATTAAGTTGCAATTATCCCGAATAAGTTGCTTTGGTATCTTGGAATATGTTTGACATAGGTAAACTGCGTCAACATTCTTGTATCTACACATGGAGTAGTATTCACGTATCTTTTCCTGTTTATCACACGCCACATCGTCGAATATGAATATGGAATTATACCGAGCATCTATTGGAGTAATAATTTCATCACTAGCCCCATATGGGAAGTATCCAATTTCTTTCACTTTACTCAGCACGTCTCGCAACTGCTGATATTTAGATTGATATAGGGACTTTGAGTAGACGTATACGTAAATAGAAGCGACAATATTACGTTGGTCTTCCCACACCCGCTGGGCCCACATACGACACATCTAAATGAATTTGGTAACAACGAACCATGTCTGTCTACAATAGCAGGATTTTCGGTTAAATCATCCAAGTTTTCTATTGGTAGCGTCCGCTCTTGTTGAACTACCTTCATGGTTTGAAGCCGTTCATCAAGATACTTTCTTTAAATACAGGTACCGCTATTGGCCTACATCAGTTCTAATGCCGCTGCGATACGGTGAAGGTGTCTTAAATTCACTAATAGATAACCTACCATTTGAATTACATATTCCAGGCGGATATCAATTCTGCGGACCCGGTAATTATATATATATATATTTTCAGATCACTCAGATCACTTTTTACTTTTAAAAAAATTTTATTTTTCACTTAAAATTATGATTACAACTTTCAGTGTTTAACAATAGATTATGAGTTACAGCGTTAAAGACTTAAAACAACTTTATTTTACTGTGAACTGAACTGACTAAGTTTTTTAGTTATATTTATAAGTTTTCTTATGCTAACGCAAGTACAAGCATTCTTAGAATCTGCTGCTGTTCTTGCGCTTTACATGAGATTGCTTTCTTTCGAGGAAGGTGTTACCTGTGGTGTCATATTGCTTGATATTTAATATTCTTAGATAATTTTCGTATTGAAATGATACGGTTAATCTTGACGATTAATTTAGAGACCAAAAAATTATATATTGGGGATGTCGTCAATTGGTGGTTGAAAGAAAACTCTTATTTAACTTAAACCAAGCTTTCGATAATTATTTATTATCTTTTTCAAGGTTACTGGCTAAAATGTACAACAAAACATTAATATAATGAAATAATTACATAAAATGGGTACTTACTTCAGTTGACAGAGTTACATCTTAAAACTTAATGGATAGTATAAAATTTTTATTTTTATTTTCATTGCTCTGAATAGCT